TGGTTCATGTGAAAGATAATAAAAATGGGACAACGGAAAAATTATTTATCATAATATCAGCAATATTTTGTCAATTGACAAATTTTTGATATCTCTACAGTAATTGAGAAAATCAAGCTCAAAGGTGGACGGGCAACATTTTATTGGGATAACGGGTTCAGCAGTCATTTGCTAGAACCGAATGGTGCATTTTAAGCCATTTTATCTGGGCTCCTGTGATAGATATAAAAAAGTCAACTGATCAAATTTTTATTAGATCATCAGAAACATTTTATCAGTTGACCAATGTTTGATACTTCTCATAAGAACCTAGATAATTAAGCTTAAAGTGCATGGGTTAATTTTAGAGCATTGCAGATTTCAACAGCTTATAACAGCTTTCAACAGCTTATATAGCTTCGTTTTTGCATTTTTTCAACCAAATAAATTACCAATCATAGACCTCAAAAAGTTATTTTCAATGTTATAAAATTTTTTAGCTCAAGAAGAAAATCGCCATCAAAATAAACTAGCTTGCAAACGCTAGAAAAGCCTGGTTGGTTTGTGTTTTCTGTTTATTTGTCTATAAATAATCTAAAAATACATTTGAATCTACAATTCTGTATAAAAACCAACTTCTTAGCTCATCTAAAACCCGAGGTAGATCATTGGAAGTTTCCGAGGTTAGAGACCCAGCGTGTCTCGTCGTCTGCGTGTCTCCTAAACTTGAACCGGCTTTATCTCGGTTCCTAGAAGCTCTGGAAATGTGATTTTTAAACAGAATCGTTGAAAACTTTGTACATTTTATACCCATTTGCCCCCAATTTTTAAAAAAAAGTTATAAAAATCCTCAAAATGATCATTTTTAGGTCCAAGACAAAACTCGTTACGTGGATGCTTGTCGAAAAGTGCTTCTAGAACATTGCATCGAAGGATACGATAAGAATTTTGAAAATTCACAACTGCCGCATTTTGATAAAGCTGTGTAAAATATTAAATTAAATTGTTTTTTATTTTCTGAAAATTTTCATTATTGATATTTTTCGATTTCTCTAAATATAATCTTATTTCAACCGTCAACTTTGAGCTCAATTATCTCGGTTTCTTTAAGAGATATAAAAATCACTTAACTAATAAATTATTTATCATAACATCAGCAACACAGGTGATTCGCGAACGCGAACCGTATTCTGTCCGTTCGCGAACTCCGTATCCGATCCGATTGCGAATAATAAATCTACCTCGGGTTTTAGATGAGCTAAGAAGTTGGTTTTTATACAGAATTGTAGATTCAAATGTATTTTTAGATTATTTATAGACAAATAAACAGAAAACACAAACCAACCAGGCTTTTCTAGCGTTTGCAAGCTAGTTTATTTTGATGGCGATTTTCTTCTTGAGCTAAAAAATTTTATAACATTGAAAATAACTTTTTGAGGTCTATGATTGGTAATTTATTTAGTTGAAAAAATGCAAAAACGAAGCTATATAAGCTGTTGAAAGCTGTTATAAGCTGTTGAAATCTGCAATGCTCTAAAATTAACCCATGCACTTTAAGCTTAATTATCTAGGTTCTTATGAGAAGTATCAAACATTGGTCAACTGATAAAATGTTTCTGATGATCTAATAAAAATTTGATCAGTTGACTTTTTTATATCTATCACAGGAGCCCAGATAAAATGGCTTAAAATGCACCATTCGGTTCTAGCAAATGACTGCTGAACCCGTTATCCCAATAAAATGTTGCCCGTCCACCTTTGAGCTTGATTTTCTCAATTACTGTAGAGATATCAAAAATTTGTCAATTGACAAAATATTGCTGATATTATGATAAATAATTTTTCCGTTGTCCCATTTTTATTATCTTTCACATGAACCAAGATAGATCGGCTCAAAGTGGACACGAATTTTTCAACCTCTTGTTTTAGAGGTGAGGAATTGGCAAATTTGAAATCCTACAAAAGTAGTCTAGAATTTTCCTATTTGTCTGAAAATTTCAGAG